GACCACGTCCAAGTCACAAGCTTGTCCCCGAGGTAACAGCCCTAAAGCCCGTGTCTGCAGTTGTTTAGGGGTGGTGGGCGGGGGGCAGGCTTGTCTCACTGACCAGGCAGCCGCCAAGCACGGAACAGACACGCCCGGCCCCTGCGCTCGGCCCGCGGCCATCAGCCAGGCCCGGGCGTCAGCGGGGCCACGAGCCCGGGCTGCTGCCTTTAACCTGGAAGCACACGCTGAGTTAACAGGACGCCCTCGACATCATGGAAGAGAACGACGCCTCTGGTGGCGCTCCGCTGCCACAAGCCCCCACGCACTGGTGGACGCCGCCTGGGGACCCCACACCCCCAACTTCCGGTTCCCGCCCTTCCTCCCCGAAGTCTCGGCTCTCGCGGGAGTTTCCTCGCCTCCTGACTGGCTGGCTGCCGGCTGGGCCGCGCCCGGCAGGACCGCGAGCCTTGAGCCCGGAGACAGCGACAGGGACATCAGAGGTTATCGGACAGGGGGCCTCACACGCCCCAAACAAGGGGTCCTGGAGCGACTCCCCACCGTGTACGGCCGCCAGCACAGGACTCGACGGCACTCTGCCCCACTCGGGGAGGAGGCGGCCTCAGAGGGGGGACGACGTCAGGTGGGCTCATCTGTTACCGGGGGAACCAGGGCTGGGCACGTCCCTCACAGCCCCTCAGGTTAACGAGCTTCCCGAGGGTAGATGCTTCCCTGTGATAAACTAGCAGGTGGGGACGTTCTGGCCTAGGGATTAGAAGCATCGCCTGCCAGAACAGGGGGCAGGCACGTTCACCTGAGTGGAGAGTAAGTGGAGCAGGGGCTGGTCCAGCAGGGGATGGACAAGAGAGCAAGACAGCGACCATCTGGAATGGCCTGACTCTACACCATCATGTCCCCACAGCCCAGCGTTTGACACATGATAGGTACTTGTTTTGTTTTCTAGGACTGCCGTAACAAAGGGCCCAAAACTAGTGGCTTAAAACAACAGAATTTGGGGGTATAAAATGGTGCAGCTTCTATAGAAAACAGGATGGTGGTTCCTCAAAAAATTAAGCATAGAATTCCCGTATGATCCAGCCTTCTGGGCTTATGCTCATGAGAATTAAAGCAGGGACTGCAGCAGATATGGGTACACCCGTGGTCATAGCAGCATTATGCCCCAATCGCCAAGAAGTGGAAACAACCCAAATACTCACTGAGAGACGAATGGATGAAGGAAGTGTGGTCTGTCCTGACAATGGAATATCATTCAGCCTTAAAAAAGGAAGGACATTCTGATGCATTCTACAACCTGGATGAACCTTGAGGACATTATGCTCAGTGACATAAACCAGATCCAAGAGGACAAATACTGTGTGACTCCACTTCTATGAGATTCTCAGTGCAGTTAAATTTAGAGACAGAAAGTAAAATAGTGGTTGGCAGGGACCGGAGGGGGTGGGGAACTGGGAACTACGGTTTAATGAGCACGGAGTTTCAGTTTTGCAAGATGAATAACACTTCTGGAGATGGATGGTGGTGATGGCTGCACAACGGTGTGAATGTGTTTCATGCCACCAAACCGTCCACTTAAAAATGGTTAAAATGGCCAATTTTATGTTATGAATATTTTACTGCAATAAAAATGTCAAAAAACACGTCTGGAAATAACATTGTCTTTATCATTGTGAAAGCCCAAAGTCTGAAATCACCTTCTTGATACTACAATGGGGACAAGTCCTTTGTGTCCCCAAATACGAAGTTTTTTGATTCTTAGATACGTTGGAGCCAAAACTAAAAGGAGCCTTAGAGACCATCAAGCTGAGAATCTGTCCCTTTTATCAGCACCAACACTCCTGTCTCATGACAAGCATTTTGTGACAGCCCCTTCACTTTCTTGAAACAAAATTGAAACGGTAAATCACCTACATACATCCTTTCAGAATATATGAATAATAAAATGTCCTAACTATAATATAAAAGGATAATAAAATGCAATGGATCATAATATATTTCAATACCTAAAGGCTTGGACACAGCTATACCAGAATGATGCACACAAGGAGCTGGATATTTGTGCTACTTACAATGGACAATTTTGGATAAGAAGGTAATATCGAAATGAACGTTTGACATTTTCATATGCCCGTGGAGAATCATGTTGAACATAATACAGCCAGACATGCAGGTTGACCCAGAGGTGATTTATTGGTGATGCAAACATGGTGGCAGGCAACATTGTCACAAACTCCATGATTTTCCAAAATGGGGACGCATGGTTGGTCGAGTTCCCAGATGAGGGTAGGGAGCTGAGGGTATCTATATGCTGATTCCCGTTAGCCATTGGGAAAAGGCTGCTCCTGGTAGGTGTTAATTCCCCAGAATTCCGGCTTCCCCATAGGACATGCAGATGCTGGTTGCCAGAAGTGACGCTCACACACCACCACTGTAAGTTCTAAGGGATATGGGGGAGCACCCCTACCATCCAGGGGCAGATAAAAGACGTAAGGGTAACCACTGGAGAGACGGGGCAGCTAGCAGCAGGGAGTGGCAAGAGGACCCCAAGAGAGCCAGGCGTGAGGGATGCGCTCACTGAAACTTGCCGGTGGTGGACCCCAAGGAGAATGCCCACAGAGCCTGCTGCCTGGCTCCCGAGCGTCTTTGAGCTGCAATCCTGTCTCCGTGAGTCCTGCTCACCCTCGGGCCCCATTCTCCCCATGAAGCCTCATCACAGCTTGGATTCCCCGAGCCTGCTGCAGAGCCTGGTCTCCGTCTCTCCTTGCTTGCACTGGCATCCTTAGGATGAAGCCACATTATTGAGTAGCTGGAAACTCTCTCTGCTCCACACAACCTTGAAGCTCATCTCTGGGGTTATCGCTTTTAATGATGATGATGAGCCCACACTTTTTCATCTGTTGTTCTCATCCCTTTCTGCACAGTAAACTTAGGCTAATACTCAACACAACCGAAGAGATAGGCAGTGTTATTAATTCACATTACAGACGAGGAGACTGAGGCACAGAGAGCTTAAGTGACTTCCCCAGAGACACATAGTAAGTGATGGAGCCAGGAAAGGAACCCAGGTGATGTGGATCAAAGGCCCCTCTCAGTCACACTGCCTCTAATCCCGCTAATCAGTTCACTTGGACTGCCTCTAACCATTAGTCTACACTGCCTCTCAATTAGGGAAAGTGATTTCCTGGCCCTGAACGTTGCCCTTTTGTCGCTGAGGGATGTTTTTGTTTCACTGTCCTGCTCAGGCTCTGCCCCTGCCTTAGCCGGAATTTGAATTTAGGCTGGAGTTCAGAGCAGCTTTTTGGAATCATGCAGGCCCCGCTCTGCCGCTCGCTGGCTGTGTGACTTCTGCAGTCGGCTCCCCCTCTCTGTGCTTCCACGGGCTTGAGGAGGACTGAATCGATAACGCTTGGGAGTCCTTGCAGAGAGCAAGCGAACCTTGACACAGCCGGTTATTATGGGTTTGGGCTTTAGGCAGAGTCACTGGGACATCAGCGACCTCCTGTGTCTGCCCTGGATGTGGGGGCCCAGCTGAACCCCACCTTTAGAATCAGCCCAGCTCCAGAGGCTGAACGAGTCTGGCAATTTACTTCAGCACCCCGGGCCTCAGTTTCCCTCTCTGCAAATAGGGGTCATTATCACCCCCCCTTGATTGGAGAGAATACGGGAAAGCAGCCGTGGGCTCGGTGAAGTGGGGGCGGGGGGCGTGGCCACTGTCACTGATGCTCTAATAGTTGCTTATGCAGCTGCTGCTACTGTCACTGATGCTCTAATAGTTGCTTATGCAGCTGCTGCTGTTTCCTTTCCCGTGATGGCTCCCTGCCCCTGACGGATACGTCAGAGTTGGGGGGGGAGGGGGGTGGGGCTCAGGAGCGGATGGTCTAGCGCCTCATGCAAACCTCAGCTCTGCCGCTCCCTGCCTGTGCCGCCCTGGGGAGGTGGTACAGCCTCTCTGAACCTCAGTTCCCTCATCTGTTAAACAGGCTTGATAACGTGCCCGCCTTCCAAGGGCGTCGTTACCATTCAGCGCGGTGATGTAGAAAAGGCCCCCTCGCTGGGTCTGGCATTCAGTAAGCCCTGGTTTATGAAGTTTAATAAGGCCTCTCTGTGAGCAGGAGGAAGGAGTGGGTCGTGGGGGAGGAAGGGGAGAGGAGGGGTGGGTGTTGCCGTCCACCACCCCCCCGGCCCCGTCGGGGGAGTCAGCTCCTGCCTTTCGCCTGCCTCCTTGCTGGGCATCCGTCACCCACCCTAGCCTGAGGCCCCACCCCGGCGCTCCCCTACACACCAAAGTAAAAGTAATTCAAGGTGATTTCTTGGCTGGGCCTAGTTTTTTAAACACGTGGGCTGAAATGACTGTGTTACTTTTTAACGGGGCCCCCACAGGCCTCCCACACACCAGCTGCATCAGTGTGGGGAGGCTGTAGGTGGCTGGGACGGGCTCTGGGTACGACAGGGAAACAAAGTCAGGGTTCGCTCGTGGAGGTGGGAGGGGCGGGGGCTGGTCTCTGGGCCTGCGGGAAGCCAGCTGTCACCTGACTGCCAGAGGGGAGACTCCCCGCCTCTTCCCACTGGGGGCACGGGGACTCACATGTATACCTGGCACTGCCGTGGTGCCCCCCTTAGGCCAGATGAAGCCACTGAGGCTCAGGGCAGGGATGCTTGGAGGTGGGGGTGGTGGGATGGGGCTCAGCCCCGAAGCTGAGGCTGCAGAAGATCTCTGGGCAGGGGGACATTTACTGATGCAAGGAAGAGAAACAGTCCGGGGCACCACAGCATCCTGGCTCACCCGAATCTCTGCAGGTGCCCCCGGAAGTCTCCCCACATCCCCTTTGGCTCCGCGGTCACTGCTCTGAGCCACGGCCAGAGTCATCGTATTAAACCCAAAGGCAGATCATGTCTTATTTCCTTCAAACTCTCCATGGCTCCCACCTCCCAGAGAAGAGTCAGAGTTTCTCAGAATCTGTAGAGCCCTAAATACTGACCCCACACCTTCTCTGACCCTCCTCCCCATCTCTCACTTAGCTCTTTCCAGACCTGGGGCCTCCTTGCTTGTCTCCATCACTCAGCCACACTCCTGCCTATGATACTTCCCATCTGTTCTTCCTCTGCCTGAAACGTCCTCATGACTCCTTCATGCCTGAGCTCAAACATCACCTCCTCAGAGCAGAGTTCTCAGACCATCACCCCTCATCCTTGTACCCTGCTTTCTTGTCCTTAGCCCTCACCATCTCCTGATGTCCTATTCAATATTTACTTGTTCGTTTATGTTCTGTCTTTCTCATAGAACGTGGGCACTGTGAGGGCGGGACTTTGTTTTGTTCACTTGCTGTGAACTTGAACAGGGCCTGGCATTTGTTGAGTAGGTTGATGAAAATCGAGCCTGGCAGACAGAGAGATGGGGGGGGGTGATGGATAGATGGATGGGAGAGAGGAAGGATGGATGGAAGGATGGGTGAATTAATAGGTGAAAAGAAGGGTATGGAGGGATGGAGGATGGATGGATGGAAGCATATAGGAGGGATGGAGGAAGGGATGGATGATGGATGGATGGATGATGGATGGATGGACAGGGGGAGGAATGGATGGAGGGATGGAAGGAGGATATAGGGGGGAGGGAGGGAAGGATGGTGGATGGATGGACTTGTACGGAGGGATGGAAGAATGAATAGAAAAATGGGTGGGTAGAAGGAAGGATGGATAAATCAATGAGAAAAAACAGAAATATGGAAGGAAGACTAGAAGGAGGGATGGATGGACTGGCAGATGGAGACACAGACAGGCCAACAGACACAAGATCAGGGCAGGATGTGCATGTGGACTGATAAGGACTGGAGCCTGGAGCAGGAGCGCGGCTCACAGCCCTCCCGTGGGGCTCTCAGAGCCCTCAAGCCCTGCCCCCCGCCCCCCACCCCCACCCCGTGTTCTGCCCCTCCCGCGGGCTCTACCCGGGCCTGGCGCCATCAAGAAGTGACGCGGAGGAACATGGCAGGTGGGGGACCGGCCCCAGGCTTTATTGAGCAGATTCTGGGGAAGGGTGGCCAGGCAGGCCCTCACCCCGGCCCTGGAGCCTCCTCTTCTTGCCCTCGCTGCCCCCCAGGGCGGGCCTGGGCCACTGGGGCCTGGGCGCCCTTCAGCTGCTGAGGAAGCAGCCCCGTTTGTGCCACTTCTGGTCGCGGATGCGGCGCACGGACTGCAGCTGCGGCTGGTTGGCGTCCCACTCGTTCCAGTGGCGGTACTCGCCCCGCTCGAACACGTACTGGCGCCCGCGGTAGCCAGGGGAACTCATAGCCAACCCACCTGCGGGGACACCGAGGCTGGGGTCAGCACGGCCAGCCACCAGTGTCTTACCTCCAGCCAGACCGAGTCTTTTAAAGCCAGCACCTGACCATGCTCTCTCTCCACCTGCCTAAGTCCCTCCTTGGATCCCCAGTGTCCTTGGGTTGAATTCAAACTCAGCCCTGCTCACAGGATCCCTCACTAAATGCCTCTAGCCTCACCTCTCATTCCTTCTTTACACCCCACACTCCAGCCTGCCTTACTCTTCTCTCCCTGAACCTGCATGTCTCTGAGCCTTTACACATGCTGTTCCTCCTGCCTGGAATGCTTTTCCTTGCCTCATCCTTATTTCATCCCCTCTTTCATTAGCATCCTTTACATCTCAGTTAGGATATCTCCTCCTCCAGAAAGCCCTCCCTGATTCCCCCAGGCTGAATCAAGTTCCTCATCAGGACTCCCAGAGCATCCCCCTTTACAATCCTGATCACAGTGAATTGTGAATACGTATTTCCCTGTCTCCCTATCAGACCGTGAAATCCCCGAGGGAGGAGTTGTGTGGTTATTGTTGCCTCCATGCCCTGCACATCATAGATGTTCAGGAAACAGTTGCTGAATAAATTATTATCAGGAAGAGGTGGCACATTTCAAGGCTCCACCCCTAGATCACAAGCCCCCAAGTGAGATATAGTCACCGACAAAGGGAAGATGATCCTATGGTTGCATTAACAGAGATATCAAGCCTAGAAGGAGGGAGGTGATGAGCTTGCTGTCCTATGTACTAGTCAGGGCACACCTACATATATGCTGGGCCCCCTGGTAAGAAGGACAAGGACTATGAAAAGGAAAGATAATAAGAGTTCAAAGGCCTAGGGATGTTCAGAAAAGGAGTGAAGGCTTTGATGGAGACAGGTAGGGGGAACATATTTCACTTAAGTCAAGGCTTCCTGGGAATCCAGTGGTTCAAAAGTGCAAGCAGTTGAACACCAGGGGCTCTTGAATGGGGCTTTGAGCAAGGATGATGCAGGAGCACTGACTTGAATGAAGGGCCTGCAGACCCAGAGGAGCAGAAACGTCAACTGTGTAGGAAACTGTGAACAGAGATTCTGTTTGGAGCCAGAGGCGAGACTAACTGGAGGACAGGGCAGGGGTAAGAGTGGGGCTGGGTCCCTTACGTCCCGTTGATGGCCCGGACGCTCGCCACACGGTCCTGGAAGCCATGAGCCCAGAGGCTGGGCACATCATCGTCCACGATCTCCATCTTGCGGCCACTGAAAGCTGGGTTCTCAAACAGATGCAGCTTGTGATCCGGGCCATCCTGGGGGCAAGACCATGGGGTGAACTGGTTGCTCCCATGCCTGGAACAGGGTCCAGGGAGGCTCCAGATGCAGGGGAGTCAAGTCACCACAAAATAACCCCCAGAGCTGGCCTCCTTAGGAATCTCAGAGCCAGAGAGCCACCAAAACAAGGAGGGGGTGGGTGAGGAAACTTTCAGGTCCTGTTAAACTCCATCATTTAGCAGATGGGGAACCTGAGGCACAGAGAGGGTGGCAGGAGACCAGAATTATTATTAATGTAGGAAAATTCCCTCCCCAGATTCTGAGTAGGTCTGCCCAGCTGTCCGCCCCCAGTCCCTCCCAAGGAACATCTGCTCTGTGACAAGGAGGAAGGGCCGGAGCAGTGGCTGAGTGTGGGTGCAGTAGTGGGGACAGAAGAGCGACATTTTAAAGTGTCACTGTGGACCGAGTCTCTTTCAGGTGTTTGAGAAACACAAGTAAAGGACTGGAGCTGGTTTTGCAGATATTTCTGAAGCTCTTTTCCAGGCTGTGTTTCTTTGACTGGACCACGTGGCTCATAACTTTACCAGGGTTACAGAGGGATGTGCCAGTGTCCTGCTAGCTAATTCAATATGAAAATCCTGGTTTCCTGACCCCCTAGCCCAGTGCCCATTCAATAGCCAACTTCCTGTCCCACACCACCATTTAGGTCAGAAAGAATGAGGGCGCTTCCCAGGCCACGTCCACACCAGCTAAGCCCCTGGGCTGAGCTTGTGACAGGAGCATCTTGCTGCCAGAAGCTGTACTCACAATGTGCAGAGGCCGGAGGGACAGGAGGCTGTCACTATGGTGGCTGTTGGACCAGGCGTCCCAGCGAGGATAATCCCCCTTCTCCAGGACGAACTGCTCCCCACGGAAGGCCCTGCACTCAAACGCCAGCCACCTGCAGGAGGAGAGTGGCCTGGGTCACCTCTGCTGCCCTGAGGGAGGACCCAAGTCTAGTGAAGGGGGGTGGTGGTGAAGAGCTGCCGACATTTGACCCCGCACACTCCCTCCAAACCTACTATGGACCCCTGGTCCTGATATCGAGGGAGCTACTAGGCCATACTGGGAGCTGAGACTCTGAGCCAGAAAATCATCCTGGGAAATAATATTGAAAATTTATTTCATGTGCAGCCTCTGTGTAGGCTGCTCAGAAACATTTTGAATGCAATGCCTGGTACGCGTAGGTATTACACAGCCAACTCCTCCTCCTCCTCTTCTTCCTTCTCCTTTGTGTTATTATTATTACTATTATGTCGTTATTGTGTATGTGCATCCTTCCATTCATTTTCACAGAAACTCTCTCTGAAGGTAACCTTTGTTGTCCCCAGTTGACAGATGAGAAAACAGAGGCCCAGAGGGTGAAGCACCTCACCAGGTTCACCCAGGTGGTTAGTGCCAGAGCCTGGACTTCCCACCTGAAGACGAGAATTCAGGGTCCAGCTGGGATTCCTGCGTGTCACGTGCACACAGACAGGACACTCAACTACTCCAGCCTCAGTTTCCTCATCTGTCAAGTGGGGCAGTTGTGGGGATTCAGTGACATAAGGCACGTTCCATTTGAGGTGGTATCATTACTATTAAAATTATAAGCATTAAATGCCAGTAGTCTGGCACTGAGCTAGGTGCTAGGGTGTCTTCCTCTGCCCCCCCACCCCGCGCCCCTGCTACAGATCCCAGTGATGGAGAGATAGAAGGATTCTAAGAGAATCACAATTCAATGCTGTCATTTTACAGGTGGGAGAAGTGAGGCCAGAGATGGGGAGGAGTTGCCTAAGGCCCCACAGCAGAGCTGGGTCCTGGACCTCCTGACCCCCAGAGAGCTCAGGGCTGTGAGGAGGGGCCGGGGGGCCCAGGTACTCACGGTCCCGACTCCACTTGGATGGAGCCCACTTTCTCCAGCAGGCTTTCTGTCAGGTTGGGGCACTCGGCCGTGAGCTCGCACCGCTTGCCCTGGAAGTTCTCCATTTCGTACACGATCACCTGGAAGGGCAGCTTCCTGAGTGTCCCACCTTGGTGGGGGTCCCAGCCCCAGCCCCTGTCCTGCCCAGTCCTTAGGGCATTGGAGGGAGGTACCACCACCCGCTCCATCAGCTCTGCCCTTTACAGCCATGCTGGCTTCAGGCCTGCCCTGCCTTCTGGTGGCCACAGAGGGGAATGCCTCCAGGAACCTCTAAACTAGGGATTGCAACTCGGCTATTGGGCTGGAGTCAGTGCAGAATCCAGTAAAGCGAAATGACCGAAATGACCATTGGGAAGACGGTAGGGAAATAAAGCCGCTGTGGTCAGGAGGGGTTGTGGGCCCTGTTCTGAATTTTTTCAAGAGAAGCCAGAAATCTGTACTATTTCCTCAGTACGAAATTTCTCCCTTTAAAAAGCCCCTTGCAGGACAATTGAAACCCCAGTTTGCAACAGTTGACGTCTGCCTGTCCCTAAACCTCAGTGGAAGGAGTTGCAAAGGCTGAGGAAGCTTTTGCCTCCTTCACCTGCCTAGAAGCACAAGCTGTCTCTGTAGAAGGTCCCTGGGGAACATCGGCTCTGGTCATTTTATAAGAAGGGTCGAGGGAGGCTCAGAAAGGGTCCTGGGCTGCACAGCAAACTAAGTGGAGGCACCGGATTCAATAAGTTCAGCCGGCTCTTTTCTCCCAAGCACAGATGCCAAAAGGAGCCAGGAAGGTCCGGCAGTGATACCCAGTTCCCTGTGGGCAGCTGCCTCCGGGCATTTGCCAAGGCCCACCGGGGTCACTAGACCGACCCTGCACTCTCCCAGGAGGGAAACAGAGGATCAGGCAGGAATGAAGCCCAGCGCCAGGCAGGCTCTTCCCTCTCGGTGTCCCCCACGCTGGTTAAAGCCCCCAGTTTTACCTCCTTTGTCAGCTCATCCTCAGACCCCAGGATAGTTTGGAAAGGACAGAGCCAACAAACCCCAGCTCTCAGATTCTCCATTAGCTGGCCATGGTATTTAGCTCTCACACCAGCTCCGGGGACTAAGTCTGGATACTGGTCCCATTTTAAAGTCGGGGCTGTTGAGGCCCAGAGCGGGCCAGGAACTGAGGCAGGAAGCAGAGTCAGCACTGGGTCTCCTGAAACCTCTGTGGAACCGACAGGGTGCGGGTGATGGGTTCCATTTTGCAAATGAGGACACAGAAGAGGAAGGATGCAGCAGAGCCAGGACGTGAGTTTACAGCAGAAAGCTGAGGGCTCCTCCTGGTCCCGGCTGGCTGGAAGGGCTGCTGCTCCTTTCTGGAGAGAGGCGGCCTGGCCAACTTGGCCCCGGGGACCAAGAGCAGCCCTGGGCCCAGAGCCGTCAGAACCCCTTCCTCCTGGTACCTTGTAGCTGCCTCCGAGGCCTCCATGACTCTTGCCAGCGGCAGCCTGCTCCGGGGCACTGCGCTGCTCCGCCATCCTGCCGGAAACACCTGTGGCTTCAATCAAAGGAGAATGGGCGAAACCAGGTGTCGATGTGATTGGCGTCGAGGCTGAGCTACAGAACCTGGGCTGCCTCTGAGATGAGGTCGTTACTCACAACCTAGAGTCGGTCGTTCAGTCACTCAGCAAACACCCATGGAGCTCATACTAGGGACCCCAGGGACGGGGACAGGGGGATCAGGGCCCCCATTTTACAGAGGGGAATCCTGAGGCCCAGGGAGGTGAGGCTGGGATTGGGCCCTTCCCTGCACCCAGAGCTCTGTGCGGACCCGGCACCTCCAGACCCCTCCAATGGGCTTCCTCCACTGGGACATCTCCCCCTTCCGCACCTCAAGCAGTAGTCTTTTGTTCTCTGATTACTTCATTTGCCAAAGATTTCGTGAGAACCTAGTTGGTGCCTGGCCCTGTGCTGGCTGACAGGGATGAACAGAACAGAGTGGTGGCAGATGGACAGACAGATGGACAGCTAGAGAAGGCATGGGACACCCCCTCCAGCCCCGTTTCTCTGCATTCAGTTATTCACTCCCTATGTGTTTCTGGAGGACTGACTGTGTCCCAGTCGCTTAAAGAGACACAGGCACAAACAGAGCCCGGCAGACAGACAGACCCTCATCCCTAGGCGCTGTGCCACACAACACCCGGCCTGCAGCGGTCACGTGCAAGGATTCTCATGATGCTGCACACGCCGACACACAGGACAGTTTTCCTGTTTGGCAGCACACACACGTGCACACACGCACTCACACAGTCTCCCATGGTCATTGGACATGGTCACTTCCCGCCTGTTGCACAAACACAGCCTACCCCTCCACTCTCCTGCACACATGCATGCCCACTGCAGACGTCCACAGTGTCCCTAGGGAACCACAGCTACACCCCACCCCTGCTGCCCAGCCACGCCTCCCGCACCCCCCACTCCTTGGGAGCAGCTACTCTGGACACGGGCCCAGTGATGCACGGCCCACGGGCTGTCTGCCTGCCCGTGTCCGGCCTCAGCAGGAGGCCTCTCAGGAGATGCAGCAGCCCTCCAGTTTGCCCACTCCCCTTCCCCAGCTCTGCTCAGTCTTTGTAGCCCTCCTGCTGGAGCTCCAGCCCAAGGGCTCGACCCTGGCCTTGGTGGCTGTCCTGGGCCCTCGCTCTCAGCTCCGGCCCTCAAGTTTGTGCAGGGGGCCAGCCGAGCATGCCCCTCTGGGGGCCACCTGCCCCTCAGTCCCCAAATCCCAGAGTGAACCTGTTGCAGTCGCCTTGGGAAGAACCGAGGGGTCGCGCCGTCTGCAGACTCAGCCTGCTGCCGCAAGGCGCGCCCTATTTATGCGCGCTTTCTGACAGCCCAGCACATCCCGGCTTGCTGAGGCTGCGCCCTGTCTGCCCGATTCCGCTCGGGCCATTTCACCCTAATAGCAGGGCCAGGGAGGCCCCCGTGCCTGTGTGTCCTCAGCCGTGGCCTCTGGTGACTTCCTGGGGGGCAGACAGACCACATCAGCTCTGTGGGCAGCCCGACAGCACCGGGAGGGGGGCTTCAGGGCGGAAAGCTCCCCAGGGCCCCCCAACTCCCTTTCCTTGTCTTCCTGTTGGGTGCGTGGCGTCCTTGCCATGGCGCCAGTGCCTGAAGCCAGGGGCCCTGGAATCTCTCCATTTTCCCATGTGCCATGTGGCCTAAATGTTAAGTCCAATGACCCTAAAATACCCTCCATGTTGGGTGTTAGTCCTTCCAGCCATTCCCACGGGAAGTTGTAACAGACCCAGCAAAGACGCAAATGTCTTCTTAGCAAATGTCTTCTTAGACATACACACATACATGCAGACAGTCAGACAAAGACGTTTTTCACAGAGCTGTTTCAAGTATGAAAGTATTGGAAATCAAGTAGAAGTCCAACAAGAAAAGTTGGTAAAATAAATTATGTTGATAATAACAAAAAATAACAATTATCAAACACTTGCTATGCCAGGCACTATGAGACTCACTCGTCTATTTTGCAATCTTCAAAAATGTCTAAAGCACGTGCTTAACATTACCCCTATATTGTGAATATTTCCAGCAGTCAACTGAGTTGCATTGGTGATTAAAAAAAAGATTCACTTTCTTCATACAGAAAGCATATATGACAACAGTAGAGCACAGGAAATTATATTTAATAACTTGTAATAACCTATAATAGAAAAGAATATGAAAAAGAATGCATCGCTTTTTGCTATAAATCAACTATACTTCAATTAAAAAAAGAAAAAATATATGAAAAGAAGGCATACACAAATAACAGTGACCATTTATTGAAGACCTACTATGTGCACAGCACTCTGCTAGCTTCACAAGCATTCAGTCCTCATGCTGCCTTCTGTAGGGGAGGAATTGAGATCCCCACTTTATAGAGGGGGAAACTTGAGTTCAGAGAGGTGAAGTCACTTACCCGGGGTCACACAGGAGAGAGAAGGAGGGGCTGGCCTGCTCCAGGACCCAGCTCTTAGCCTCAGTAGAAATAAAGATGATCATGACAGTCACCTTATTTATGATCAAAAAAAAAAAAAAGATCCAGGCATTTGTGTGTGTGTGTGTGTCTAACAAAGAAAAACTTCACCCATGATAGCTACAGAATTCTCCTGCTTTTAGGCCATTTTGCTTTTATGAAAGATCTACGTTAATTAGTACTTGTTTTCACTAACTGAAAGGAATCTGGAGAGTTTTTTTTGCTTTTAAGAAAAAAGGCAAAAGGTGAAAATCACATTCAGTGTTCATTTTACAGTGAGCCCGGTCAGAGGCAGGACCCAAGACCCCTGTACCCCTGGACATGTGAGTGACAGCTGGACTCTGGAAACAGGTGGAGCTGGGTGACCTTGGATGACTTACTGAAAGTCAGAGCTACAGCCTCCTCACCTATGAATGGAGATTCTTACTCCAGCCATTGAGAGATCAGGAAAGCAAAGCACTCATTTTTGTTACTTTATTACTTCTACTCACTGAAGATCCCTCCTACTAATGACCATTTCAGCCAAGGGGCTACTTCCCGCTGGTGCTCATGGAAAGCACAGCTGGTTTCAACCCTTTAACCTGGGATTCAGTGGCCACTTGCGGGGAATCTAAGGGGAAGACAGTGGTGGAGACAGCCTATCAGGTGTGACTCCCCCCACCATCAGTTCCTTAGATCCTGAAGACCTACTATGTGCCCAGATTCTCAACTATTCGGCACTATTGCCATTTGGGGCTGGATCATTCTTTGTGATGATGGATTGGGGGAGACTGTCCTGTGCAGTATAGGATTTTACCAGCATCCTTTGTCTCTTCCCACTAGTTGCCCTTGGCAACGCCCTACCCCACTGTGATAACCAAAAATGTCTCCTGTCATTGCCAGTTGATGTCCACAGGGGCAAAATCCACCCAACTGAGAACCGCTGCCTTAACCTTTTGTCCACTAATGTCACTGTCACCACCCCTATTTTGGAGAATGGTGGGGGTTCAGACACACCCCAGAGTCAGGAGGAGGCAGAATGAGGATTCAACCCCCACGTTGTACGGACATCCTGCTTTGTGTCCACAGGGCCCCTCTCCCAGGACCCCCGCTACGGCCTCCCGCTGCCTGGCCCCCAGCTCAGCACAGAGGAGAGACTGACTCAGCTGGTGACAGGCATGCATGCGTGGGGCCGCCCATTCATCCACACACTGACACGCCCACTTCTCCAGTGCAGCTCGCGTCAAAGCTTTATTTGCTGTTTTCATAGTCTGAATGCAACATCTTTGTACATGCAGAGGTCATTTTGTTTTAGGGCAGTCGACCAGACTCCCAACTGCTCTTCTGTGCGTAGGAAACCTCTTTACAGTTACAAAATATAAAAGCACTTGTAGACATCCAATACTCTGTGAGGTCCGGGAAGCCCCCGTTTGTTTTAATGTTAAAAATATAGGTTTCTCTAGATGAATTCTCAGTCACACGGTTAGAGACCCTTTCTGGGATTGGATAAAGTGCCTGCCCCTCGACCGCCTTCTGTTCAGAACTCCGAGAGCCTGTGAGTTCATAAGGCAACTACAAGGAGCCCAGCTGGCAGGAGGCACCAACTGTCCTGCACCCAGGACTCGTGTTCCCATCATGACTCAGATATCCGAGGAAGGGACCCGGAAGAAA